AAACGTCAGTCGAGATCATGGTGGAAGGGCCCTGGGTGAGCGACCCTTATTTGCCAGCCTCATGACATTTTCCGAAGATACTACACCACTACTGCTGCTCGAGTCTGCCCACCAGCTCCTCGTCTGCCTCGTTTGACCCGTAGCACGAACGCTTCTGTTGGTGTAAAGTCGTACATTGCAGTACAGTTCGCGGTGGCCACTCTGTGTGGGTTATCACTCCAATTAGCAGATCATAACGTCGTCCTGGCGGCCTATAGTCTATTTTCATACATTGCACAAGGTTTTCTTCTCGATGGAAGAAAAGACTACGAACTGGTGCGATGCGTCTTATTCATTCTTGTTGGTATCTTTAATGGTGGGGTTTACGGTGCTCTCTGTTCGATATGGTCTGTTATATCATTAGCATGTTTCCATGTAGTTATGCAATCTCCCACACAAATCGATCCGATATGAATATGTCGATTAGTTGAGCATCGAAGCGAGATGATAATTTTCTTTCCTCATTTAATCGGACTGGTGTTCAAGTATACCGTCCACTCCTATACACCATGGTGAGAAAATTTTGATGATTTATTCACAACCATGACTTCACTAGACACAACAACACATTACTTAGGAAATCCCTGGAGAAAACTTAAACTATCCTCTTAGAATTCAAGCCACAAATACCAACAAGCTTTCCAACACAAATCCATATTCAAACTGCTCGAGTGTGATCCATCGATCGCGGCAGATAATGCACTCTATAGAAGCCGATGAAAATGTGGAATCTAAGAGCACTAGTCTAATCTCACGAGGACGGGAACCGACAAATAACTGTCAGAAAAACACCCTACTCTATATTACGAATAGCACAGGTCAATATTCAGGAAGGAACTGTATAACGAGAATTGCTAACCTCGAAATAGAATGCATATTAAGCTGGGTCCTCACTTCATGAAGAGAAATAAATGAGGACCTTTCTGCTCGACATAAATCAGGCCCGAATAACATAGGCATGGGATTGCCACCGTCTTGACAAATGGCAATACTGCCCATGAATAAACAGGAAAGGAACAACTATGAAGTACAGATAATTACCATGGCATCATGCCGAACGACTCGCGTTTAATAACACCAAGCTCGAGACCCTGAGGTATCTCAGCTGCTCGAATAGCATCAACCGTCAAGTTGATCATGCAAATGGGCCCACACAGGTAGAAGTTGATCCTCTTCGCCTTGCTCTGATCTGCCTTGTCAATGGCCTTGTTCACGAAATCAGCGATCTCCTTGTTACCGTGGTGAGCATAGTGACTAGGACGAGTATTATTCAGAGCATCACCACCGGCGATCATTTGGCCGTAGTGAGCGGGGCACACGCAAGCTTCCAAATCGGCAGTGGCTCGGCGCATAACCTCATCAGTACCGGAATACATGAGTTCACGATGGCCAACACCAGCTAGTAGCTGATGAACCGACACAAATTCACCGGACGTTCTAAAGGCCCAAAGCAGGGACACCTTCTCCTTCTGGTCATCAGGCAGGGAAGCGATGACGGAAGCAATGGGACAGATACCCGTGCCACCGGCGATCATAACAGTGTAGTCATCAGGACCAGCTATCTGCTTGGGCACATCCGACGCACCATAAGGACCTTGCACATACACTCGGGAATTGATGAACCTCTCGAAGTCAGCAGCCACGAGCTTTTTAGTCATGTAACCATCACAAGAGACCAACAGTTTCAAAGTGTGTTTCTCCTTCGGATTCGGCAGTGGGGAAAAGGCATGTGCAACACAGTCCTTTCCAGGGAAGGTCACCTGAATCCACTGCCCTGGCTTCGGTTTCACATGCGTCCTGAGAACGATCTCGCAAGCCGGTGCATCCTCCTTGGCATCACCGTCGGTCAAAGGAGTGATTGACTCTACCTTCGAGCAGAAGGCGTTACTGGAATCTTCGGGATGTTCGTCAAAATGCTTCTTGGACTTCGTGGAGACAGCTTGCACAGAGGTTTCAATGAGCTCAATAACTCTCTCGATAATGCTAGCAATCCAAACAACGAAGAGAACACCAGAAGTGACATAGGGACCAGCAGAATGAGTGAACTCAGACTGTATGAGTTCGTGCTGGACAGTGTGGAAGAGGAGCAGTACAGTGGCGAAATATACGAGCCAATGCGACCAGCGGAATACTCGATAACCGTGAGGAATGTACTTGTATATGAACGCACAAATGAAGGTTATCAAGAATAGCACACCAGAAGCAACAGCCTCGTTACCACCAAAAATGAGTGCACACTGGACAGTCACCCGAGGAGCGATCATAATCAGATGCATGATACCAAAGACCAGAGCGTTGATACCGAGCAAAGCATGGAGGATAGTAAGGCGTTCGAAGCCGACCTTGAAGAGACGGGCCACTGGACGAATGGACAGGAAGAAACAACCGGCAATAGACCACGTGGAAATTCGAGCAAATATCACACTGGCCCGCTTCGTCCCTTCTGACGTATCGTACGTTGCAAGCTGAATGATAGCAGCAATTGCAAGTGAAGTTATTAGCACTGCGAAACTGACAGCATTAGCACGACTAGCAAAAACACGCTTGCATGGTCGTTGAAGCCAGTTGGGCATGTATCGTCTCAGCCTCACTGCCACAATCATGATGATGATGGCAATACCACAAAAGAAGGGGAACGCCCACTGGGACCAACCAGGGATGTTGAGGTTGCCAGGAGGAACAATACATTGTTCCATCAACTTGGCTTTGTCCGACTCGCTACCAGGAGCACTGGTCGGAGCGTTGGGATCAGGGGCCGGGGTGCTTCCTGTGAATACCCAGGGAGGAGGGGTCCCCGAAGTAAACCCGAAGGGACACTTCGCCATAATCTCGTACAGCATGATGAGCAAGGCAGCAAACCAACAACTATCAGCTACAGAGGTGTCATTCTTGACGACATGATTTCCAGAATTCCAACTATACAATTTTCCCCACGACTATTAGTGTGTTGCTAACACTGACACCACACCCTCCTAGTGCCAATATCAATAAGTCCTATACGGCACGGCTCCTCTGATGCTACGGTGATATATGGTCCCTTCTTCCTAGTTAATGACTAGACAGATGTACATTACTGCTCAATAAGATGACTATTCCTGATAGTAGCTTCCCTAGCTCTCAGTTGTAAGTGGCCCAAGCAAACTCTGCTTGTGTGATATTCGATTAGATTGCCGCGCGATAATAGCAAAGCTAGCATGCGAAAGGTCCCGGGTTCGAACCAGAGCGGCCGCTTCTTTCTGAATCGGGTAGATTAGTCGTGGTTGATCAACATCCTCCATAGTTATTCTACTCATGAGATTAAACCAAACACACTCAGTAGCAGAGTTAGACATGTGTTCAAGTTCCATTTACACTCATACAGGCAAGTGGATGTACACGAGGAAACTCAACACGTAATGTAAACTCTTGTATAATGAATTCACGCGTGAGGGACAATTGACGGTTCGGCGGTAGCCCATCATGGCATCATACCCAGGGCATGCTGCACAGAGTCGTTAGTGGCGACCACGCTAGAGACACAGTGCACTCAGAAGTGATGCGGATTCACATTTTTCTATTCCATCATTGACAACAGCAACCCGAAATCATATTATGCAAAAGCTAGCAACTAAACTAGTAACCATAAAACTGGAGCTAATGCTATATAGACCTCTCTCTCTGTCAGTCTAAAGTACAACGCCGTCGCCGGCTTGGTTAGATTTGATGCCGATATGCTAGCCATTTGATCTGTGGACGCTTAAAACTGCCGAGGAACTTCGTCAACCCCTCTGGGCATTCGCCGCCGTGCCGAGAGGTCGCTCTGCTTCCACTCTGGTCATATCGCTATCGAACTCGTCCTCAGTGGATAATTTGTGGCACATCTCTCATTTCAAATCGACCTTGACAAAGTGGTACCATAGGAATTGCAGAGGTACACTTGTGAAATGCCAGCACGTATGCGCATCTAGTAGGGAGGGAAATCGTTGAGCTCAAAATCATACAACAAAGGAGCAACCCCGAAGGTCGCAACATAGATCCATCTCATGGGCTTCCCACGACGTCTGTGTGTAAAGGAGCAGTGACACCGACTAACGACCATCACTGCTCCCACCGAACAGGGCACTTGCATGTTCCAATCGTAATGAAACTCAGCGGAAATGGCAGGAAAAAACCCAAGATTAACTTTTGGGCACCAACGGAAACTGTCCAGTCTTCTTACCAGAAGCATCTATGAGATGAGACCGATCGCCTCTGAGCAACTCTGTCAAGCGGTCTCGAAAGCCAGATGAAGCCGATCATAGAAATGTGGAGTAGCAAAGACATCTGTTTCTCACCGAGCAGTATTGATATCCTACAAACAGTGTTGAATCAGACATGACCATGCTTACTTCCTTCACAAACATGGACGTTACAACAGTTAAAGTCAAGGCACCTTATTTCACAACAGTGCAAGAAGCAACGGAAAATAGAGTCAAAAAGTTCTCTCCCACTTACACCAGCATGTCGGGTAGGATCAAGTGGATCGATGCTTCCACGCTGTAGTAGTTCATAAACGGGTGGATTGGCATTCCGCAGTACATAACATGTACCGAGCTTCTCGACTACCCTCTGCTGCGGTGAAGTAGATGCCCCAGAGATGGACCGTGATGGAGACCATCTACAACTTCACAACTGCTTAACACGTGAGCAGATTCAACGAGGCGGAGCGAAGCAAAAAACCATTCTCTCGGAAACGACACCAAGCATGGCCTTCAGAATTTAAGCGTCTCGGTCGTCACTCGTCTTGGATCGTTGATGTGCCTCTTCGGTGGTGGCGGCGCGCCGTAATACGATATTGTGGCTTTGGCCGCTTTCACATCCTTCAAAAACGGCTTGTAGTTCTGAGATGAAATACACCAAAAATCGTCGGGCGGAACTCTCAACCTACTGCTTCAGCCTTTCCATACACATCTTCCAAGATGAGCAAATCTTTGTTGTCGAGACTATCGAGTAGCAAACGAACTTCCTTCGCAGTCCCCTGGCACACGGCAACGTATACAAGGGACCAGTGTTGGGAAATATGCTCGCTCTCTTCAGCTCAGTTCCGGAGGGTTTTTACTAATTACACAAATTCACGTATGAACTCGGGTGGGAGGAATGTAGGTAAACCAACAAGAAATTCCCGAGATGTCCTCAGAATTCCCATAGTGTCACCAACCAGATGTCACCTTGAGGAGCCTCTGTACTTGCTTCCACTCTGGAGTTTCACACCAATCCTCGTCATTATCACCGATCACGCGGCCAATACACCACGCTATGCGAACCAAGCCTGAAGGGATAGAACCTTTGAGTAAATGCTCACACTACATCGCATATTAATCAATTATCGATCATCAGGGCGCTGGGATTCCCACCACATTTGAGTTTCATCCGTTTAACGTGAAGTATGCAATAGTAAATCAGTGAAATATATTTTTCATATCACTAGGGTGAAACTCCATTGTTGTTGTAACTGATTCCCCCCATAAATTTCCCACCCTTCCTCGTACCCTCACACCCTATTTCCGCACCCTTGCCGTTCCTATATGCCTCCAACAGCGCGGGAGTTACTGCAGCCAGAGCCCGTCGAAGTGGTGGCCCCCGCACACGGAAGACGCCCAATGCGTAGACCAAACGGTAACTACAGGAACATACAGCCCGGCACAAGAAGGCACTCACAGATCTTTGGCCGACACTTTATCGAATTCTCCTTTGTCAAGATGAGCAAAGGTTTTCTGCAAAGCCGTTTGCATCAGCGGTGAAGTATACCTACACAAGACACGACCAAATTCAGATCGAACCTGAGCGTTGCGCACTATCGCGAAGGGAAGGGTAGCATCGGAGAAATTAAACTATCGTTGACCTTGTCATTCCCATCGCCCACTCGGGATGAGCACGGGTTTAGGAAAATGTGGTGAGGGCTCTCATGGGACAATGAACGACATGTACTTGCGTACGATATGTTCATTGTCATTGTATTGAAGCAGTATCAGTCTTAGTAGGCTACCCTTCCGTTCGTGATATGACGAATATTTTCCCCGAGTTCATTACTTCACATGTACGCCCGATATACGGTACAGCCTGTAGAGAACGTCAATGGCCATATGCGGCTCACACTGTGGCAAGACCTTCTCGAACCAGGGCATGCAGACCTGCATCGGAATCCATCAATATTGGAGTTTCACCACCCGTTCCTCGTGAAGTAGCGTAATACTCTGTGAAAACCCCAATATTCGCGGCAGTCGTAAAATATATTTTGCATAAAAAATTTTTTTGCGTAAAATAATATTTTTTTATTATTATTTTTTTTAAAAGTATTTTTCATATCACAGGTGAAACTCCAACGAGTAACTTTCCCCCACTACTACTACCTTTAGCCCATTTCGTGTACGCAGGTCCACCAGATACCGCAACACGCGCCACGTTTTCACAGGGCTGTCGGCGATCCGCGGAAAAACCTCAACAAAGGGCAATAAAGTGAATAACACGAACAACACACCTGCGTATCGAGTTTAGATATGAAATCTTTGAACTCTCGACTGCCCCTCTTGAAATCACCGAAGTTGGCCAAATGCGTTAACGCGTGACATGCGTCCCCGTATGACAACGGTATCGCAGTCTTACTCACAAGAGTTAGAACTTCTGGACCTGAGAAAAATCAATTCAAAAAATTTGCGACAAATATTTTCCCTCCTAAAAAGACTACTATTCATGTGCAAACTAATTTAGTAGGACTCTTCGTCACTGCCCACTATTACCATTTTTGCACTGCTGGAACGCATCCCCGAAAACCGACTTCAACGGCGGCAGAGGTACTTTAACACTGGGCATCTGGTGAGGTTGTCATACTCGAGAAAAGTCCCACAGAGGCCACTACTTCCAGCTCTGTGGTAACCAAACAAAAGCAAGGGCATGAAAAATAACTTGCCACTATCAAAGTCGTTACTAAATGTACAACACACAGATACGCGTCGTATCCTGCGGCACGCTCCTGAGATTCGTTTGCTACAGCGTTCTGCATCATTGCCACCATGCAGAGAACGCTCCCTGACACGCTCCCATGTAAGAACAGTAGTAGTAGTAGTAGTAGTAGTAGTAGTAGTAATAGTACTCTAGATCATTCGAACAGGACCACATCTTTGCTTTTCCCCAAACTGCTATCCTTCCTAATAGTCCTGCCATTAGGACTGTCATGATCATCACTGTTACGATACGCAGTAGGATAGGGAATATGCAGTCGGAGAAAACAGTTGTCCTCCTAAATTCCACACGAATCTTCCAGGCACGCACAACAACAACTCCTATTCTCACAGGTTCATATTTCTCTGGTACGGCCCGTTGCCGCGCGTTCTTATACTGCAAATTCGGAGTTGCTGCTGCCGGTTTACTGTTACTCTCACGGCCTGAAAAGATACCAAATTTTATCCAACATTTACCAACAAGTTCTTGTTGGTATTAGTCACTATATAATGGAGTTCCACACTAGTGATATGAAAAACACTAGTGAAAAATATATTTCACGACTACTGCATGTCACCGCGAATATCGCGTTTTACACAGAGTATTACGCCACTTCACGTAAAACGGGTGGTGAAACTCCTCAATTAACCCACAAAAATATATGAGAATTTTCAATGTTAATTTAAATTATATAATTACTTTTTTTGGAAAACTTATGAGGCATTTATTAACACAGTTGCTGGTAATACCATAAATTCCATAATAAAAAAAATATTAGTAAAAATATCAATGCATACATACCTTTTTTCTTCTTGGTAAGTGGGCTCAATCTGCCACACAAGTTGGCGCCCCAGTCCCTCAACGTTGGGTCGCCCGATACGTTCATCAACTGCCGTTCGAACAGTTCGGAAAACCTCTTTAAAAGATTCCACCTGAGAAAAACTAAGCCGATTTTTGCAGCCGACTTTCTCACCGACACTCATGCCGTGTGTTGAAAAATCCCCACGTAGGAGGACATATCTGACCAGTACCTGAACACGGGGAATTCGGAAAATTGTTCATTGGAGTTTCACCACCCGTTTTACGTGAAGTGGCGTAAAAAACTCCCTGAAAAACGCTGTAGTAGTCGTGAAGTATATTTTCTCACTAGTGTCTTTAATACCACTAGGGTGAAACTCCATCTTATAACCGAGGAAAGACAGAGCAAGGACGATTGATAAAGTGAAATTATTGCTATTAGAATTTCTATTCGACCACAACAACAAGATAAAGAATTAGTAGCTGTGGCAAGGATATTATCCAGGAACTATTTTTCACTAGAGTTTTTCATATCGCGGGTGGAACCTCATTATCGAGGAATAGGTATTAGGAATCAGGGATTCACTCATTCTCTAGAATTTGTGTTATCTAGAGTCTGACAACAGTGAGAAAGAAGGTCCCAATGTGATGATATCTACCCGGAAATCATCCAGGAGCCTATAATGTTCCCAGGAAGGGAACTCATTTTGAATTTTCCACGGATGGCTAGGAACACATTCTTCAATCAGTTTTCCATGTAAATATCATTACATTATCTCACAAAGCTACGTGGACCATTGGTTGCCGACCGCAGAAACGGAGGAATGCGAGTATTTGATATTACATATTTCTCTTAGTTCCTCTTCATTGACTAGTATAATCCTAATTCTCAAGCTGCCAACATCATCTACTCTGCTCACGGGTTTATATCTGAGCGCCTATCACAAGATGACGAGTAAGGCCGACTTCTTACGGTGTGACGAAGAACCTTCCCTCTCCAGTGGAGCCCCCACAGGTAAGGGTGAATGCGTACCATGCACTTCTATAGTAGGAATCGCACCTGGTATCAATGGAGTCTCACTCTAGCGATACGGATATTTCACGACTACTGCATATCACCGTGAATATCGCGTTTTTCACTCCCACCTTACGTAAAGCCGATTACCTCCGAGCCTCATTGAAAAAGATGTGATAGGGGGCAAACAGGGCCGAAAGGTGGTTCGTGCAAGTGGATAGAACATGCCACTTGTCATCACTGCTTAAGAATTTCGTCAGTATCTACCAGGAAATCATCCAAGAACCTATGATGGAGTTTCACCCGTGATATTAAAAACATATTGCACGACTAGTACAGGCCGCGAATATCGCGTTTTTCAACGAGTTTTACGCGACTTCACGTAAAACAGGTGAAACCCCGGGGGGAACTAATTTTGAATTCTCCGCGGATGGCTAGGAACACATTCTTCAATCAGTTTCCCATGTAAATGTCATCATCACATTAGGGAAATTTTCCTCATTTTTATCAAAAAAAATTTTCTCCAAGCTTAATGGGTCCTTGGTATCTACCAGTGTTGGAATGTATATGTTTGCTTTCCTCAGCTGAGCTCAGGGAGTTCCCTCACTAATTATAGAAGTCTACATGTGAGAAGTGTACGAAAAGCAACGATAATTAGCCGCAATTTCCTCGGAATTTTCATATTCTCACCAACACGTGTAGTTGACCATGTGCATATTTTCTAACACTAGTATCTACAGGCTCAACCATGAAAGATACGAAACAGGCCCAATTTGGTACCGGATCCTCAGGCGTGGCTTTCTTCGCGGCCTCCAACACCTTGTTGATAACGTACGTGTCGTGGCCGAAGAAATCTTTGATGTCTTTACAAAATACCTAAGCCTCGCCAACTGTCCTCATCAATTACTACTCACCCGAACTACCGTGCGTTTTTCAATTCTGCCAAGTTCTGCAAGATGTTCTGTTGTCAGTATACAGGCTTGGATTTGCTTAACACAGCAAGGGACCATGATACGAGACGAGGTCCATATACGACTACTACTGTGTATTCGTTGATGGCGCTCTTTCGCCAATCAATGGAGTTCCTATCCCTCAGATACTTCTTCACCGCAAAGTAGAGCCATCGGGCTCCAAGGGCTGCCTAATGAACGCAAAGAGAACGACGAGGACGATTCGACTTCCTATGGCCTCACCAAAATGTATAAGGGGATAGACTTCATGTAAGGGGAGGAGGTAAGACGACGAGTTACCTGCCGGACCACGCCAGAGCGTAAACGATCTGTAAACGCCTTAAACTTGTTTATTATCGAGACACGCAGTAAAGGAGGGTAGTGGCGTATCTGTTGTATATACTCAAGCGCTGAATTCTATAGAGCACGGTGTAAGCCTTCCCCCAGTGGTATTACGATAGACACTATTACGGAGAAGGCCGATCGCCTCGTTTCCGCATCGTGCTGACGAGTACTGTGAGAGGAGGTGGACATCGGACTGTGAAAGATTCAAAATTGCCTGTGAGGTGGGGGCAGCGTCACTCGCCACGAAATTGCCCAACTTGCGTTGTTTTCACAGCGGGAGGGCGCACATTGAACTCACTCCATGATTAGCTCTGTTGCTGCAAGACTACCCTATACGATGCTCATGGAAACACGATCCCTGTGGAGTTCTACATCTAGCTCGTGTGCAGGGTGAGCTGCTGCACCCTCGCCCGAGCTATACAGCGACACGAATAGGAAACGGAGACGTGTAGGGCGGTATCTTCCTATAGAAAAGCGAGATAGAAAATTGGAGAGGCGAATATGATCTTTCCGTTTCGAATTTGTACCCCCTCCCACTTCGCGCGCCCCCACGAAATGTTAAATTGACCTTCCGTAAGCCTCCTGCTAGGATCGGGTTTTACATGCGGAATGCGATCCCGCAGAGAGGAAAGGGAGTACATTGGCAGAGATTATCTCGCCCGGTGGACACAACTCATTGGCATGATGAAAGTAGACAATTTAAAAAACTAGAGCTGATCCCTCGAGAGCTACTGTGCATCGATGCGAGTCTTACTAAGCCGTGTTGTCGGAGGCGCTGGCGACTTTTAATTCACACACACGCGCAGTCCCATGGGATAAGCGGGCAAAGAGTGCACTTGAGCGAGATGACTACGGACATGCATCACACTAACGAATTCTCAATACATATTTGAACAACATTAGAATTATAGCAATGTTGCGGAGATGCGCAGAAAGCAACAAAAATCGGCGGTTCAGCAACATCAAGGTGCTGAACCAGAGGTTGCTGAAATGTGTATCTTCCACTCTATTAGCCAGAAGGATATTCCAAGCCTTCTCCAAGCCGTTTCTGCTGGTAAACCGTATGTAGGCGAGCAAGACAGCATCATGGCATATCAATTATGACAACTGTTGACCTTTTCCACTAACCTATTGAGATTGCCGAATTTACGTCAACTTGGAATAATTTCAGAAACTCTAAGTATGTTTCACAAGTCCTTCAGCCTCAAATGTGAGGGAAGTAAACTAAAGAACGGGATTGAGAAAGATCTTAGTTCGAGACTAAGCAGGTTCTTTGACACTCACAAGGTACCTAAGAAATTGTATGTGAATTTGAACCAAAATTCCATTTCAAAATAAAACATGAAAAAGCCAAATAAAAAAGTCGGTGAAAGTGCTGTAAAAATTTTATCCCCGAGTCGTGTCAGGCACCTATATCGAGCCTTCCCGCAACTTCGAGGAAGTCCTCGCGAATGTGGCTTGAAAGAAACGACCTAATTTCCTCACCAAACTCACGATAGATCTCAAGCGTTCTCAACTTGAGAGTGAGTCTGAGAGACTCCTAATCATGACGATATTATGGCTTCTCATTGCTTAGGGGACGAGAATCTCATCCTCTTTATCAAGCGATTATACTTTTGTAATTTTTTCCGCTCTCAACTACTTAGGCGTAAGAGGCTCATTCATAGAGCCTCGACGGCTGAACTGTTATTCATAGATTCCGACACAGACCAGCACGGAATCAATTCGGGCGTATCTTTGTTCAAAACGTCCCTACTCACACTGCACTCGACACAACCCTCTTGAATGAGAAATGATGTGAAAATGTACCACTACATCAACAATGACCAACAGCATCACCAACAGTACGAGCATTAATAACAGGATCAATGCCCGCGATTGTATAGGATACTATCGAGTTGTTTTGATTTCGTGATTTCCTTGACATAGACTTATTCAGTTTTGCTTCTTACCCTTGAAATTCTTAGTCGGAGTAGGGGAACCCTAACAAGAAAAAACACCGTATCACGTATAGTTACTACGCCCACTACACAGTGCACGCAACGACACCAATAGTTTGATTCACTCTCATCACACCATGCAGAATCGAATCAGCTCACTGTCCAGCAAACTTAGCACTCGATCGACTCACTTTCCCATGCTGAGCTTTAGCCTTCTCACTTTGACCTGCCACGCCCGAGCGGACACTCTTCTTCGCTCGTCTAGGACAGAGCATATACCCCAAACATTGGAAGGGCAGCTTTAACAGATAAACAGCCCAGCTGAACAAGGTCATGCTCAAGAAGATGAACACGAGCCTATCCGCCAGCTCAGAACCTGAGAGCTCCTAGTGTTAGAGACAAAAAAATGGAAACCTACCAACGACCCCTCTTGTGCCAGGGTAAGCCGCGTGTAAAATCTTGAGGTTGGCAGTACTGAGAGACTTCTGCTTCTCATTGACAAAACTGTACATCTTCTTAGCACTAGTAACACCCGCATCGATGATGGAATCTGCAAGATGATATCTTGCCGGTCACCACACTCCGCGAGTTTTCTTACTAATCTTCGGAGCCACTTCAGCGTAGTACACGTCCTTAGCTTGAGCATAGTACTTATTGCCGTCACGGACCACTTCGTTGTACTTCACCTGCATGCCCTTAGATAACATCGATACCGCAGTATCTCGAGAGAACCTATCAAAACACAGAGTGAAGTAATTCTGCCTGAGAGAATATTACTTGGCAAAATCCACCCAATAAACACCAGTCTGATAGGCCACACTCTTCAAGGCATCGAAGGTAATGAGGGCATCGGAAGTAGCAGCTGTCGAGCGAGTGGTCTCCTTAACAGTAGCCTGAACACCAGCATCACTGGAGGGGGCAACAGTAGGTTCCCTCGTTGTGCTGGGAGGCGCAACGCTGATATCAACTCTCCTAGTAGGAGCCGACGTGACCGCCTCAACAGTCGAGGGAGGAGAAGGAACAACAGTCGCAGTTGATTCATGAACCACTACTGCAGGAGGCGTTGTCTGTGCTACTGCAGGGGTAGGAGCAGGAGTAAGACCAACAACGTTCGGAGTCGTACGAGTCTCAACAACTTCCGGGTGAGGAACACTAGCGGCAGCCTATACAACGATATGGTCACTCAACACGAACGAGAAAAGGACTACAATACACAAGCCCAACCTCACCTTATCAGTGGGAGCAGCCTGAACTCCACACAACATGTAAAACGCAGCCACGCTAGCGAGAACGCGCACCATGGATAACTAGACGGAACCGATGAAACTGACAATCGACAACGACATGAAATCTAAACGACTCGGATACGAAATCTTAACACCCAAGATTGAAACTCTATGAATTGGACATGGAAAGTTCATACCACACTAATCAAACAAAATGTACGTCTGCTTGCTGTGTGAAGCGCTGCTACTCATTAGAAATAACCTGATGGTATGCGCCCTATTAGTAGGCACGAAGAAGCATAAACCACCATGAAGACGCAACCACGGCCGAGCCAATGACCTCAAGACAAAGGGGGGGCAGCATCAGATACACCCCGCCGGGAAGAGTAGATCAGTAACACCAACCGAAGTCACTTCTTCCCTATCATGCACGACTTCGCACAGACCACAACCACCACCACAAGTGAGCAAACCATATACGAGGTACCACTGTTATGAATAGCGGTGTGCGTTGCAGCACAACCAGGAGCAAAGGTAGCGTATTCACACGTAGAATAGCCAAGAAACCAGATTTCAGCATAGACCAAATAATTGATAACCAAATCGCCAGTATCAGACCACACGACAGTCGGATCAACAGTAGCTAGTGCCACCTTGGTGCAAGTCTACACCGCCTTGGCAACGGTGAATCGACGCCTCGAAATGCACACCTCACCTGACTGCTGGTCGAGCAGGGTAGTTCAGCACGACTCCAAAGACTTAACCATATGAGTAACATCAATAGAGCATATAATCGCTGTTATCCCACACTAGCGGCTGCTAGGGAGCGCTAAGAGCATGCATCCACAGTCTTCTCAGTAGTGGTGGCAGTAACGAGCCTTCTGACCAAGAACAGCAACATCTAGAGGTAGATAGAACTGCCTAAGCGGCGGCACAAGGCGGCTTCTCGAGATTGGTCTCAGAGAGGCTCTAGTGTGGCTGAGGACGATGCTCCTACACTCACAGTGAAGATTTCCCTTCACATAAGAGTAAGATGCGTTTGAGACCAACTGCGTCAAGTCAGACAGATGAAGACAAATGAATACTTCCAATCGCACCAACACCATCTTCTAGCGGCTACGACCGACACAATAGCGACCTGTCCTCCTCGGGTAGAGACCCTTCAACTGTTCCGTAACGGAGATGAGCACTAGAACAGCTATGCAAACGCCGACCACAATGATGAACACTTAGCAATACGCTACCAGCCATACCGCGACAACAACAAAGTAGAAGGCCTCTCTGCAGATCACCGCCGTCACACCACGTTTACCATAGAGTCATGTTCACTAGCGTTGAGGATACGGCTCCATTTCGTGCAGCATCGGCAAGCGTGAACGTTACTCATTTAATTTCGGGCGCGCGCTTTTTGCAGCGCTTATTCCGAGTGCGGGTGAAGACTAGTTGAATTTACACACCCTTCATAAACATTTCAACGACAATGCACAGGAGAACAAACACACCATCTCCCAACACTAGTCTCTATTGGCAAATCATCACCTTCGCACTCTTATGTCAATTCCCAGCAGCTCACAGTATTAGGGGTCGCTCTTTAAACCGATTTCGAAACTGAGATTCGATTCCAGAATCGCGTATCACACGCTCTTAGAATCGATTCTAACTCTCACAATTGAGTCATCGAACATGGGGTTGTTATTCTCCTGAGGTGGCTAAAGTATAATATAGGATCGTTTCACAATACTAAGTCCATGAGGCCAACCGCTACTCTCAATCACATTCTCACTGGTTTCAGCCAACAATGTCCTCCCCTGTTCATGCCGGATAGCTCTTCCAGCTTCCCCCTAGCTTCCATCGCCCTCCCTGACCGAGAACCCGCGCGCTTCTTGCCAGTGCTCTTCGTCTGCACCATTATCTTCACCTTGTGGGCAATATACAACTTTGTAAATTCTGCTCCTGAGCTTCTATGGTTAGTGGTATCTGTAAGGTTCACATCTTACCATTACTTCAACTAGAAAGACCGGCAGCACTACGGCATGAGTTGTAGGTGATGATCAACATACCTTCTATGCAGCATTGACGTGGTCTTAGAGCTCAAAGAGGTTGGAACGAGCTGATCATATTCAACTCTCTTTTTGCTATGCTACTCGTCTGCTATACTCTCTGTGTGGTCACTAACCCAGGAGAGGTAAGGAAACGGTCGTGCTTGATTTTTAGGGAGAAAAAAACTCCCACCGTGGGAAGATCGTCTTCGAAATCGGTGATAGGTTCATATTATATGAACTCCTATGCTACGTACTCATGGATTAACTTCACAAATTTTTCCGACAGATTCCTAATACTGAGAAATGGTTATACAGCGGGGACGAGGACGAGCCTATAGTAGTTGCTACTATTCTACCGAGTGAGAGCATAGACGATTCGACGGGTTTTTACGATTGTTCCTGTCAGATGCTCAAGAAAAGAAGCGAAGTGGAGCGAGGAGACACTGTAAATGGTGTGGAAAGTCAGTCACCGTCGTTAAGTTGGATGATTGTCATGGTGGAGGTCGCAGGTTCAAACCCGACAGATGTCATCACTGCCGCGTTTGCAAGAGATGTGTGAGTGGTTTAACGCTCTTCACTCTTTATCATCAACTACTTCCCTTGCTAAAACTCCACGTTGAAAGACTAATGAGAATTCCTAGCATATTCAGGTACTTAAAATGGATCACCACTGTCCATGGATATACAACTGTGTTGGTTTCCGCAACCACAAGTATTTCTTCCTCCTGCTCTTCTATGCAACACTAGCGGCTCACTTTATGTGGATTACTATGGTTGAATCGGTAGGTTCGGGACATGAGCCCTCCAGCTGTCCTTTCTGCGGGAATACATGAGTGTTGGGGGAGGAGGAGACAATTTTATATGTTTCGAATCAGTTGCTTGTTATCTCATATTTTGAAGGAATTTTATGCATTCTAGGTCTTCGGTGCGAAGCGGCGGAGCTCGCTGAGCTTCTTATCTAGAATTCCACTGGCTGTTATTGAAACTACTTTGGAAATTGCTCCGCTCGCTCCACAACTAGTATTTTCTCTCTCGTAAGCTCCATCGAATTTCCAGGATAGCACTAGTCGTAATGTCGCCACTTTTTGAAAATTGACAATATTTTGTTATCAGGATGAATGGCTTGATATTCCCTTGAAACTGCTGTTACCTCCTACGTTGTGGAGTGACATTTTTCTGTGTTAGACGCGTTATGCAGTAGAAGAGGAGGAGCCGTTGGGACGGGTCTTCCTCCTTGTATTCGGCATGGTCCTCTCCTCTCTATTCGGGCTACTACTAACAGCATTCTTCGCTTTCCACATATGGTACTATCAGTTGTCTTGAAGTACACCCCATCCGGCTTGGCATGCAGGTTAGCATTCAAGGCGATGACCACTATAGAGTACTGCGAAAAGTCTACTAAGAAGCTTGGTTTCAGTGGGGTGGGTCAGCGGATCGTTCAGCTGCGTCCTGAGATGCTCGTTGCCAGTCTACTTACCATCGTGGGTGCTACGGCGACTTTATAGCAGTAGTAGGTTCCAACCCTTTGTTTTGGCTTTTGCCGATAGGTAGTATTCAGCACCATTTCTCAATCTCTCCGAAGCTCCCCTGCTCAGAATATGGTAGAGGTGACGGAATGTCGTTTACTAGGAAAGACGATGATACCGATTGGATCAATAGCAATGATGATAATATGGAGGGTATTAGCACTGTGTTGTTCTGATGGAGTGGTATCGTTTTATAGGGAATAATAATTCTTCACAGACTCCTGGTGGAAGTAGTAGGCGGGTGAGACGAGGCCTTGCGATTATCGGTATGCACGGTTGTGACTTTTATAGGCGGTGAAATACCGAGACGAGAAGCAACATGCTCCTGAATCCAGCGAGGCTCTACTCGGTAGTCCTTGATACGGATCTACTCAGATCCTCCTTGTTACAGTAGTGGCGATTGCTTTGTCCGATGTGCATATCCTATTGTTGTTGATTTAACCCTACCATATTGCGTTGGAGTATGCAGGGTTAACTTCGATTTTAGAGTGTTTCGGAAATGATTGTCATTAGAAGATGCCCTGTTGAAAGTGTCAGCCTAGTGCTTCCCTATGGCGCCTCAACAAGTCGTGTCATCAGCTCGAGGCGGCCTGGATTACAGTCATGTCGCTGATCGTCAGATGCCTCCTCCGGCGCCATCACCAACTCCCAAGTCGGTGCCGGCTCGTGGGGTCGGTGCGGTGGGGGGACCGCCGTCGCCTACTCTACCACAGGTGAGGATATGTCGTGTGTCCATTGGGAAATTCTCGCTGTTTCTAAGCACTTGTATTCTACTTCGTATATACCTGAGCTTAGCAGCTGTAATATTCCAACGCTGAGTGGGAGGTCACTGATGCTGTCCTCAACTGCTGCAGATTGCCCGTATGGATGCATATGGTCCATCTCGAGGTCAACCTACATATCTACAACAAAACGCGCACGTTCAGTACAGCCCTCAGCCGACTAATAGCGACTATCGGACGAGGCACCAAGAGGTACACTACTCGCCATCTAGAGAGCGAAAATAAGTGTGCAGAGGCAACTTTTTCTACAGGAAGCCCTATATAGGTATATTGCATGGAACCTGTCCCCAATCGGTTTTCGAAAAAAATTTTCATTGCCTTTTTGCGCGTGTATTGAGCCTTCTCCATCCATTATAGACTTAATCCATATCATATCCATGAATGTGATGCGACTAACCTCTGTGATACTACGACTTACCTTCTTAACACACGTAATTCGTTTGTCTGGTTTCACCAGCGTTGTCCAAGTTAGCGATAAGAAGACGCATTCTCTGAGTAGACGCTTGGAAAGGATCAAGAAGAGGGCGATAACTATATCAAAAGATTTCAGCTTCAAAGTTGTTCTGTAGAAAAAGTTACCTCTCCAGATCGCGAGCCTTGCTGAGGTCCACATGTGTTGACTTTATGAAAAACGAGAAATTTTCATACGAAGCCTGAGTAGATTCACATCTGTATTGGGGTGGCAATCAGTAGGCTCGGGAGGTTCTATAGGAAGCTCTTAGTTGAAACAGAAACTAATGTGCGAGGTCTGTGTCCTCAGATATATGAGCCTTTGAGAAGGGACGTTCTGCATTATATTTTCGAGCAGACATCGAATGTTCATCTTCACAATGAGGAGTGTACGGCGGCTCTCATGCAGTGTCTTATTAAAATGCTCAACGCCTTGGAGGTTGCCATTCATGTAAGTCTAGGAAGAACGCGTATGGTTGGCGCATCCCGGGAAGAACTTTTCAGAGGACCGAGGGGCGAGTTATCGAGAACATGACATACAGCGCGGAACTTCAGCACGATATAGGAAGGTGCTTGTCGAAATTGGATGTGAGTTGTAAAGTTATATATTTGGAAAACATAGAGGTTCTTATGTAGGGAGTCACTGGCTACTGCAGAGACACTGAAGTGAGTAGTAGGATGGCGAGAGCTGTCGTGAATGATGTGGTGCTGGGCTCAGACACATCTAGTGGAGAACCTCGCGGAGACTAAGGCTAGCGCCCGTAGTGTGCAGCAGCACTTTGAACAGGACGTAGGGGTCTTCAGCTGAGCTTAGTTGAGATTGTCTTCACTGTTAGGGTAACAAGCTGGAGAGTATACAGATGCATCTGATGCAGTTGACGGTAGCGATGCGGGGTTGCCACTGTCCAACTCGGTTGGTTGTTATATTGTTGATCATATATCTATCGATAGTATATTGGAGTTTCACGACCCGTTTTACGTGAAGTGGCGTAATACTCTGTGAAAACGGCGAAACCTGAAATATGTTTTTCACTAGTGTTTTCCATATCACTAGGGTGAAATTCCATTTTCGTATAAACACTATATATATAACTATACTGTTTTCGAGAAAGTCGTATCGTCGTTTTCCGCATCAGAGACAAGTCCAGGACTCTCCAACATACAATGATATGAAAGCCCACAGCGACGAGATCATCGCGGCTATCTCCTCAGTGGGCACCTACATGTACACTCGTGATGCTATCTGTGCTGCTCCTTCAGCGGTTTGCCACTCTAAACAGCACTTTCCAAAAGCTCTCCCAGGACGTGTGCGATGCGAAGGCTCAGAATGTGGCCTTGACTTCGGCACTCTCGAAAGTCAGTGAGAGGCTCAGTTGGCTGGAGAGAGCAGACCGAGATCGTCTAGGAAGGTCGAGCGCAACGAATACAGCACCGCAGATTAGAGTGTAGTCTTGAATTTCGAGTTCCTCGCTGTACATTTGAAAATCAGGCCAGGCAGTAGTAGCTATAGTGAAGTGGATCTACTCAGCAGTAGCAACGACTTGTCGTATGGCTCGGCCGAGCTGAGGGCAGGGACGAAATATGGACGGCTGATGGACAGCAAAGGTATGCCTGAGAATTGCTAATTCAGATGAGGGTGTCTCCGTTTAAGAGGAGGACTCCACTGATGAGTGTGTGCAAATACACGCATGAAAAAGTGTTTTACGGTAGATAACAATCAAGAAATAAACTTGTATAGGTTCAGAGCGGCTATGTTCTGTCGCATGCACTCGTCGTGGAAATTCATTCTACTATATCGTAGCCTTACGTAATGTGGGGAAATAGTCGCATTGTTAACTTCATGTGTAGGTGAGAAAAAAATGTAAAATTTCGGGGAAAATTTTCGGAAATTTTTGTTGGTTTTCGAACATTTCCTCTCCGCCGAAGTCATGCGTAAACTTCCATAATTAGTGAAGAAACTGCTGAGCTCAGCTGAGGAAAGCGATCGCATATTCGTACACTGCACTATGCGGGCTGAAGTAGTTTCTTATCGAGCTTTCACGACTTGGCGACTTCGACTGATCAGATGGTCACCAGGAGGGGACGATGAGGGACAATCTCGTCTCGCCAGTATTGCTGGATATGGATCCTCAGAGAGCACCAGAAGCGAGGCTGCAGGGAGAGTCATTGGTGACACCAAGCCGTCGAGGGGTAGTGGACGGAGTTGGCGGAGAACTGGCGAGGACTGGAGGTAGAGTTGTCTGTGTTCAATTCGGAGCCCTTTATACGGAACTAGTTTCGCAGTCTCAGTGGGCATCAGAACCTCATCTGTGTAGAGCTCGGCGAGGCTACAGTTGCTCCCCAAACACTTGTTCCTATCGACGCTGATAACCGAAGCCATTTCGAGGTTGAGGCTCCTGTGAGTGCAGTGACTATGAATGCTCATTACACAACACCATTGTTGGGTGCTGCGGAATATCGAACAGGTAGTAAAGAGGGGGTAGTTTGTAATAATCTGCACTCGTTTATGAGGAGGCGTTTTCGTACGATTTAATCGCTTTTGTGATTTTATTACGATGCATTCGGAAGAAAATGTAATACGCGAAATATTCCCCGTGTTTTACGGCGGGAATTCAACACGGCTTAGCTGTTGTGATTCGTGACCATTACTCGTGGTTGAAGTGATGTTTGCCACACAAGTGTCGTTTCAGAAACAGCGAGCTGTTCTGCAAACGCGCTGGATGATGCCTCAGTCGAGGAGAAGGAGGATAAGCTCCCTATAGCGCCTCCCGATCGGGCCGCCTCATCCCAGGCAGATGTGGTCCAGTCGAGGCAGGATAATATTGTTGAGCACGTCGAGCTACCGATAGCAGCATTCTCGTCGGTGGATGAGGGTCCTGCTAGGGAGACGGCTGGTGAGTACTGCATTGTGCAGTGTGGGAACATGTGTTTGCTTTCCACAGCTGAAGATCCACACGCGATTTGGGGTAGAAGTAGACAATAACTATTTCCCGGAATTTTCATATTGTTACCAACACATGTAGTTGACAATGTGCATATATGTCCACACTGGTTGGGGTGCTATACTGTGTTGGAAATTCATCGACTAACGACACGTGTTAGTAGCAGTAGAGAAAATTCTGAGTAAAATTTTTGTACTTGTACGCTCTTATGTGAGGAAACGTCTGAGCTCAGCTGAGGAAAACAATCGTATATCCCACCTCAGACGAGTTGGCGAAAGCGATGACTAGTGAGGGGCTGAAGGCTGAGAGCGACGCTCAAGGACTACTTTGGAATGCTGGTGACAGTGAGTCACCTGCTGTCACCATCGAGTCCATACCATTCCTTTTCCATCTCTTGGCACAAGCATCTTGGCCGGTCCAGCTACTGGTACCAATCAGTGACCGAGTTGACTTTGAAGGACCCTCGTGAGAATAGCCATGAAATAACGTGTCGTTATCGTAGGGCTGATCTTAGGGTCTTTTTACTGGGAATTCGACGAATTGTGCAAATTTGCATTTTTCAGGAGCGCGCGCAGTTGGCGCTGGGTTCTGTGATGGAGGCCTCGCCCAGCTGGTGGCTCTGGCAGCGCCCGAGAGTGAGCACCTCCGAATTGATATTGTAAAGCTGCACGTGGAGGGTCTCCAGGGACAGCCAGAATTAACTCGTGATTTTGGTGATGTATTTGATTTCATAATGTGATAATATCTGCCATTTTCACTTCAGCTCGTAAACTACTTGGAGTGTACCAGTCTGATGAGGTGAGTTTAGTGGCTTCGAGTCGTTGGCAGTCTGGAAAAAAGGCACATGTGTTGGTGAAAATATGGAAAATTCAGGGAAAATTCGGCGAAATTTTTGTTGGTTTTTCAACACTTTTTTCCGAATTCGTATGTAAAGTTGAATAATTAGTGAGGAAACTTCCGAGCTCGGCTGAGGCGAGCAAAAGTATATATCGCAATACTGTGCGTTGCGTGGCAATTTCAGACTACCATTGAGGAGGCCATCAACGACTTGACAGAGTGGCTCGCTGAAGGTCCTCTAGATGGCGTACTCCTGTAGGTGTCGCTCGAGGGTGCGCATAAACTATGATTAGCTCGCCAAGTTGCTAGATTGTTTCTAATATGAGAGTATGAAAGTGTTGGCCAATGGGTAGGGGAATGTATCCCTAGAAGGCGTTGTGGTCCTTCACGCTGATGAGTGCTGCTGTTGAAGCCGCGGCTCCCACGACGACGAAAGTAGATGTGATAAAGCAGCAAAACGGTCTTCACGACAGTCAAATGGGAGGTCAAGTCCAACGGGAGATGAAATACCATTGTGATGGTAAGTAAAGTGCTCCATCCTTGTGGCCCTATGTTTCTCATAAGCTGTTAAGTAACCATCTAAAGATTCCTAACACCAGAGAGACTTGCCGCTAGACCCTCGTCCTTGTTCGACGAACTGTGGTGGTGTCTTCTCTCTCCTTCCTGCTCGTCGTCGCTTGCCAGACCACACTTTACCGACAACACCAAAGGCCGACGACGCGAGTCCAGATGATCTCATTAAAACCCCACCGGCGTTGGTGGTAGAAACACCAGAATCTAGACGAGCTCCTCTTCAGAGATGTCCGGACAGTTCAGGTGAGAGTAGGGAGTATGTGATCAGCTCTCGAGAGGGCTGAGCTAGAAGGAGTCTAGAGTACGAGATTCCAAGGCCGGTCATTCGTTGTAAATATTGAGATGGTTCAATTTGAAGTATCATCTTGGCACGTCCACTGCTGGAGTCGTTGAGTAACTCTTAGTTGTGAATAGTTTTCTGTTCGTATATATTCCTGATTGATGCTTAACAGGAGATAGTGGTTAGCCGTTACACAACACGTGATTCCATGGACATTCCATGCTCGTGCGATATTAAGGAATCATGCAAGAGAGCCATTGATTAAGGTATTGGCCAACATGATAGGAATTTTGAGTACGTTCTCTCGAGTTGGCAACTCTGAAACTGTCATGGCTAGACCATGGTTTAGCTTCATCGTGTTGGAAGTGCCTCTTTTAGTGAGTTTATTATTTCTATATTACGGAGTTTGTGGAGCATTGGATGTATCCGTAGGTCGACATATAGATGCTCAGCGATTCCGTCGAGATTCCAGTCGTTTGAGTCTAGATGGGAGTAGATTGCGCTTGCCGAGAGCGTCTGCTGCAAGGGTGAGTAGGCGAAATCATACACGGCGTATGAATGTGTTGATATTTCTCATGACATCTCTCTTGTTTTTCTGTGTTTTCGGTTAGGCCTCTCCTGGGCCCGCGTCGAAGCCACAAACTGGCGAGTCCCCTGTCCCTGCGAAAAATATTGAAGCTGTTGTGGCAGAGAAGGACGAGGAGATAGAGAGAGTCATGAGAGATGTCGAAGCCGGAAAGTAAACGATGGTTAACCACATATGTTGGTGACAATATGGAAATTCTGAGGAAATTTTGGGAAATTTTTGTTGGTTTCTTACAATTCTACCATAGTTTGCATATAAACTCCCATAATTAGTGAGGAAACTTCTAGGGTCTGATGAGGAAAGCGAACATGCGATGGTGATTTAATGAAAGTGATATGTAACGAGAAGTTTGTTGCCATTCTGCACTCTACAGAGGCGGTAACAGAGGAGAATATAACTTTCTCCATGTGCATCAACTGCGCTATAGTTGCGCTGCTCTCACTCTGTGCAGAATCATGTCAGTGGCACTCGTGAGATGATTTATTAACTGATAGAAACATGAATTATGAATACGAATATAATAATAACGTAATGTTATTGAGGTAAAGGGGCATTGACATAGATTGATTATAGATAATCAATAGGTATATACCACATCTGTTTGAACTTTACTTTATCCCAACTGGTGTGTCGAAGTTCCTCTATTTATGGTTTCTCAGAATCGCACTGGCAGCAGAGAGAGCCAAGACGAGGACACTAGTGCAGAAGAAAGTCGATGAAGTTGGTCGCATTGCTGGAGAGCTAAGACAGCACCTGGACTGTTTCTCAGTTGAGCAAGAAGCACATGAGTGAAATCGCCGAGCTAGAAGGCAGAATTAGAGAGTTGGAGAATACGATTAAGGGTGAGCGGGAAAGTCTGAAGAAAGCTGTGAAAATCACTGATGAGAACAACGTAAGCATATGAGCGCGGAGAGCTTGTGTAGGCGTATTGTTGTAGACTCTGCGGGTTCGTATTCGCGACTATGAGTCGAAGCTTGAGAGTGCTAAGAACAAGATCGCCCGTCTTGAGACACAGCTCAAAGTGAAAGAAGGTAAGATGATGATTCTTCATTCGAAGGGAGAGGCTACATGATACTAACACAGTTCGATATAAAGCAGGAGTTGCCTTACTTCATATAGAGGGCTCCTCTGTGAGGGGGGATGAAGGACGCTTTCAGAGGATATACTGACTTCGGCTCGCCTTGTGAAGAATTTGACTGAGCAGAGGGACTTGTTCAAGGCGCAGTTGGAAGGACTAGGTGGGTAGTTTAGTCGCCTGTTGTGATACGTACGATTTTCCCAACAGGTCAAGCGGCGTCCGATACAGAGCTACTCGCTGCGAATGCGCGATATGAAGCTCTTGTGAGCGCACATAAGCAGGCGCTAGAATGCGAGCAGAAGGTGTGGTATGAGACTTTGCTTGTCATTTATCGGCGTTTTGGCAGGCTCGTGGTGAGGCTGTAGATTTGCGAGTGAAGAATGAAGCCCATGCGAGGGAGAGGGCTCGGCTGTATGACGAGGTGAATGCTCTTAAGAAGAAGATTATCAAAGATCAACAGGTGAGATATTACTTATCAGTTTTGGGTGTAGTCAGTACTAGGACCACCTGGCCGAACGCGACCGGATGTCGGCGACGTTTAATCAGAGGATCGAGGAGATCACTAGGGAATTCGCGGTAGGCTAATGACCTCACTTCTCGATAGTGGTTCATCATCAGGATGGTGTTGCGACGAAGGCCGAGGAGAGGCGACGGAGCGGAGGAGGTGCGACAAGTGAGAAGCTCAGACTGCGAGTTGAGGAGCTTACTTTTGAACGAGTGAGACTGGCTTTCGTTATAGGCAGGTATTGGTCGTTTAGGATGCCCTACTTGGTGAGCTCGAGGAATGTCGTAAAGAGGTCCCGGCAGCTGTGCGTGGTGATGAAGGATGAATTAAAATGAATCGATCGCATGATATAGTAACGAGTATCTTACATTATCTCGATTTCTTGTTCAGTAAAGTGTATAGGGCGAAAAATATCATTCGGATGTAGAACTACAAAATGGTCCGGTTGATGAACCGTGTTGGCACAATTATCATCACTGATATTGCTAATGGTAATTTACTATACTGTATAGTGTGTTTCCACATCACATTGGTAGTTAACAAGGCGATATTACAAAAAGTAAACACGAGACCCCGAATACAAATGCTGGCTCTACCGTAACAGCCAATCTTTTTGAGGTGCGCCAAGGAACCGTTATTGCGGCACTCACAACTAGCCTTGCTCACTGCGTAAACATCGTCCTTCATAGTGAATTTCGAAAACGCCATCCGAACTATCGTGGGTAGAACTCAGCGGTTTTCTAGTCCATTCTTCTCCAACATTGCCACGATATTGAGATCACTTTAAAGTCGCCCATCTGATGACAACTTCGAAGTTGTGATGAACCTTCGCAAATGGCTCGACTACTCCATTCGAAAGGTGTAGATATTGTGTAAGTAGAACCCGTTCAGTTCTCGTATTCACCTCCTCAAAATCGTGTGTGGATTCAGCGTGACATGCTAGTTATCTCCATAACTGAACGCACTCTGATAGAGGAAACTATCGTATTTGCAGACATGTACGCTGCCAACAGCGTAATCATACTTGCACAAACTTTCCACCGCACCGTTTGCATCTTTGGGTGTATACATTCACCGATTTCGTGTGCCGTGATATTCTGAAAACTGCAATCTCTCACTAATGCGAACCAGAGAGTGAGTACTATTTACTTGTGTTCGCAATCTGTACATATGAATGAGTACTTGGCCCGAATCTCGTAGGAGTGGCTAGTAGTCACCGTATACTGCGGGAACACAGCTGACGCAATCCGAGCCCTGAAACCCGAAACGTCTCATTCAGACAACTTTTCGAACAGTGTTGGAATATATGTTCGCTTTCCTCAGCTCAGCTCAGCTCAGGAGCTTCCTCACGAGTTATTCAAGTTCATCTGTACATATTCGGGTGGAAATGTATCGAAACGGATGAGAATTTCTCAAAATTTCATCAGAGTTTCCATATTGTCACCAGAACATGTTGTCAAGTAACTAACCATTTCTTGAATGCTGATCCATGAGGAGGCCGGAGCTCACCGCTCAGAATGAACTGTGCTACATGGCACATCTCGTGAAGCAGTGTCTGGCAATGCCAACTATCAGCCGCGACAAAACACATGCATCTCAAGCTTACTGTGCAGACACGTACTGGCCGATCGAGAACCTTGGTAGAAAGTTCTATTCGACAGGCTCCATTCTTGAAAACAGTGACACCAGCAGTGGTGAGCATCCTATTGTTCCACGTGATATCCATGTCCTATAAGAACAGAGAACGCAGAGGGAAGTAAACGAACATTTCTGATGCACGTGGCACCTTGGGCAACCGATTGTCGAAGACTTGCTCGTTGATGCGGGGGTACCTACAGGGACGTGCCGAGAACACCACATGCGATCCATACCACTCCTCCACCAACGCGATTCGAATGCGACTAAAGTCCCCGTCTGGCAATGAGGCACCGTCGTCTTCTCCTGCAGGAGTTCTCGTGGACTGCGGTGTTCTCTTCCGTGATCGAGGGCGTCGCCGCGTACCTGAGCAGGAGCTCAGTCATGCCGCCACGAGTACACCGACTACATATCGGTGTCAACAATGCATCATCTTCACTGTCATCATCCTTTTTATTATTGCCATGTCGATAGTCCGCTGGCGTCAAAGTCATGTATCTGTGCGAGTCGTACAGCAGCACTGCTCAACCCTGGACTGCTTACGGTGGCAATTCCCTCTCTTTATTCGCTGGGCCAGGAGTATTCTCATTGGCTGCTCCATTAGCGAGGTCTGCAACAACATCATCATCAACCTGGAAAATAGAACATCACAGTAGCTTCAATTCCTCAAGATGCTCACCACAGGGCTGACCATCTTCTCCACGTCAGAGTCACCATCTTCCAATAGAACCGATGTAAGTCGACGATCCGGATCGGCACTCTTCCGCCGTTCCATTCGTGTCTGGTCAAGAGGCTCCTGCTCGTCCTCCTCTTCGTCATCACTTAGCTCTATGGGGCTACCCACAGGACTTGTCACACTGCTCGACGAGTCAGATGCAGGAGGCGTCTCGGATAGCGGGAATGGAGGCGGCGATATCGGTTCTTGGACTGCATCCCGAACAGGACTCTGTGGCGGCTCTTCTGTTGAGGTTTGAGGTGCAGTAGCTTCACATGTGATCTCCTCCTCTGTCTCAACAGGCAAGGCGACTCCTGCTGCCTCTACCGCTGCATCAGTGCATGCTTTCACCGGGGAAACTGATTCCCGTGAGTGAGTAGGAGTTATGGACAGGTCGAAAGTAGTGGAGGTCTCCACAAAGAAGTTCATCACGGGCAATATGCTAGATATCTCGGTTACACTGAAGTTGGTCTCAGTGGGTTGCTCGAGTACAGAAGTCGGCTTGGACGGAACCTCTCCAGAACACAGCGAGACAAATGAGTCAGAAGAGGCACCGGAATCATTGGCCGTCTGGAACGTTGACATAACAAACTTCATTTAATGCAATTTCCTCTCACCAGCAGACCTCTTTTTTATCAGCATCAACGACTTCCCCGCTGTTACGAACACAAAACGAGTGTGCATACGAGATCCTTTGATAATATGGGCATGTGTCGTTGAGACTAGACACTCTATTCTCCCTATATGCCGAGATACGAGCGTACTCAAGTGCGGTCAGTGGCACGTAAACTGGATCATCCACGTTGCATGGGAGAGCCGTTTCTGATTCCGACCATGCATAAAATGGACATGTGAGAGGCTACCATCAGTGGCATCCATGGCAGCAGCGAACATCCTCCACAGATCTAGAGGTGCCTCCTTTACAGTTATGCCTTTCTTTTTCAGTGACAAAGCCAGACCTGATCAGCATTAGAAACCCAGTGAGAGCGAACTGTAGAATTCACCCCGGAAGGCCTCGACAGACCGAGGATAAGATTCCACTAGCCTCCACGAGGCGAATGTGAGGAGCTGCCTCCACTGCTTCTCTCGAGCATCAGCACCAGTGCCTAACACTCACGTCAACGGGACATACCTCGCACGACTAAGCTCATGGCACTGACGACAGTAACCTGGTGCACTCAGGCTATAACACTAAACGGGAATGTTCTTGAGCAGATTACTCGCGATCCACCGCGGTTGTGCTATGGCAGGGGGAGGAGTCGAGACTGCCTACCATTATAAAGTAAACCCAGCGTTGTGTCTCGAAGCTCTCTAGGATCTGGGAGTCCTTGCGGTACCGCTCCATGCCCAACATACGGCCACACATTCTCAACCGTAGCTAGCGGGGAGGACCCTCCTTCACCACACTCATATAGACCGTCATTAACCGACAGGAACGACCAGGCTACTGCGGTGTTGAAGTCGGCCTTTGTTGAGGCCCTAGCCGGAGACCAGGCCAAGTGAAGCATAGAGTACGGTATCACCACACAGTCACCAACTCGTTGAACAGCCGTGTGAATTTCAACCTTCTCGAGCCAAGGGCGATGGAGATCCTCATCAACTGCATCCAGGTCTAACGCCAGCCAGTCGGTCCCTGTGTTGTAACGGTCGTCAGTGGTGTTGTAACGGTTTCCTCTCACCCAAGGTAAGATGTCACCGTACTTGCGTGTGTCAATGAACCACCATAATTTCTCGACATCTCCAGCCACTAGACAGTTCATGACATTCTCCTTATCATAGTGGAAAGAAGATCTCGTCTCCAATCCCGCTGGAGCTATCCACAGGCCGTTCTCCTCTATAATCAGCCCCTCACGATTTCCCCATTGAGGCACTTCCACCTCCCAGGCCATGGCTTGAGGGAGCGTCGACACCACATACCAGTTCCCATCTAGAGCAAGATCCCGCAGGGTCATTCTAGACGCGGCCTCCTTGGCAACTCCGCGCAATTCTATTGGAGTCTCCAACTTCACCTGGAGTTCACCAAAGTCGCCATTTCCGAATGTGGTCCTCTTCGACCAGTCCGGGATCACCATGGCATTCCGTATGACCAAGGGCCTATGCTCAGCAATGTAGTAGCTCCAATACTCACCACAAGAGAGGTTCTCGCTGACAACCGAGTCAATTCTGGGATACTGTCCCCTTACGAGGAAGGACCCGTTCAGCGGGGACCCAGCAGGATCCCCTCTGTGCAGTGGTAAGTGACAGAATAGTGGTATCTCACGATGCATCCACATGAACATATCTCTGCCTAGACCTTTCGAGGAGGCCGCCTCTCCCCCACGAGCGGCTTTCGCCTGTTCACGTGCGCGATAGTAGTGCCATAGTCTAGTAGTCAATAGC